CTGAGTGGGGGGATGGGCCCAGTGTGGGTACTCCGGGCAGTCCAAGCCAGGACTGTCTGTCCGGGGTGGGGGTCAGGAATCTTTAAGCGCAGCCCTCGGCTAGCCTGAGACAGCATCTCCATGCTCTAAGTCCTCCTCTGATGCCCTGCCGGCACTGCTTCCGGCCATCCTTAAGCCTGGTTCAGGGTCCACTTAATGTGAACATGCTAGTTCGAATTAGCAAAACGCTAATTCGAACTAGTTTTTTAGTCTGGATCCGTTAGTTCGAATTAGCTTAGTTCGAATTAACTAATTCAAACTAAGTTAGTTAGAATTAACGTCGTAGTGTAGACATACCCTGAGGCTATGTCTACACTACACATTTATTTTGAAATAACAGAGTGCAAGTCTACAAGGCAAGCCCACTATTTCAAAATAATTTTGAAATAATGGGCTTCTTACTATGACTTCTGTAACCCGCATTTTAAAGGAGTAAAGAAATTAGAAGGAAGAATGTTCTTCCTTCGACTTCCTGCTGTGTAGACAGCACCAAAAGTCGAGTTAAGCTATTTTGACTTCAGCTACGCAATTAACGTAGTTGAAGTTGCATATCTTAACTCAATTTTGACCCACAGTATAGATATACTCTAAGGTGCCACATGACTACTTGTTGTTTTTAAAATTACAGATTAACACAGCTGCCATCTTGAGACTGCTATTCTAAGGGTAGATTGTCTAGCCTCCAAGTATGACATCTCTAAATTTGTCACCCACCCAAACATCAAATCACTGGATGGTAAGAAAGGCTGCACTGGGAGGGGTGATCTTGCCTCTGACCTGGATCAATGCCTTCTGGAGAATGCTGGTGAACCTGAACTGTCTCGGCCATACAGAAGCCAGTAATACTTTGTCTTGTTTGATCTTTATTAATAAGAGAGATGTAGGCAGAAATGTATAAATTAGTGGTTCCAACCACTGTACTAGAAATGAATCCTTTCTGGAGTTTTGGTTCCAGGTGGTTTAGGAGTAGTAGGCTGGACATTTCTTGCTCATGTGAAATGCAAAGAGAACTCATGGTAGGAATAGATACAAATTGCTGAGTTGCATACTTCCCACTCATTGTCTTTGGAAAAAGGTCTGCTGAATTTGTGTCTCTGGAAGGTGCACTGCCAAGAGCGCAAACAGGAACAGCAAACAGGAGAGTTTGGAGAGGGAGTTTAGAGGGGGAGGTTAGAGGGCACTAGTGACTTCTGACCTTCTTTAAAACATAACTCTTAGAATAATCTATACTCCAGGGCTACGTCTACACTCTTATTCCTACTTTCAGGAAGCTATCTTGGTAATGGGTAAGATAGTTACTCAGACACTTTGCCAAAGGATTAATGCCCACAAAACAGATATCAGACAAGATCACAAAGAAAAAACAGTTTCTTGCCTTTTCAACCAGAAAGGACACTCTCTCAATGACTTAACCACCTGCATTCTGCTACAAAGACCATTTACATCTGCACTTGAAAGGGAATCCTCTGAACTGTCATTCATGTTCAAATTCGACACTCTCCGAGAAGGAATGAACAAAGACTCTAACTATCTTAACCATTACCAAGATAGCTTCCCCAATTATCACCTCTAATACCATTAGCTCACAGACATCTAACTCTCCCCACCTCTAACATAATTAATTCACAGACATTTACCTTCCTTCCTTCCCCACCCCCCGCATTCCCCTCCTGTTCTGAAATGTGATTTGTCCTTTTCATATGTGTTCATTTTTTTTTAATTGTATCCGTTGGTATATATGGTTGTGGCAGTTTTCTTCCACTATTTGATCTGAGGAAGTGGGTCTGGCCCACGAAAGCTCATCATCTAATAAACCATCTTGTTAGTCTTTAAAGTGCTACATAGTCCTGCATTTTGCTTCAGCTACACCAGACTAACATGGCTACATTTCTATTACTAATCAACAACTAAACTGTCTGAACATACTGTATAAAGGATCCCTGAAACTGTCTCTCAGGGCTGCTGCTGCTTTCACACTTGTAGCTGGCAGTCTGCATGCATGCATAATAAAATTTTCCTTTTAGACCTCTCTCCTGCCTCACTGCTTTGACCTCCAGCCTCGGACTCTTCTGGGGACTCTGTACCCCAGGGGAGCGAGATTTCCCCGACATTCCTCCTACAGGAAGCTGGCACTGGCACTCCAATCTTGCCAGGGGGCCGTAAGACTGTAGCACCAGTGCTGGCTCCGTACTGTGAAGGGAAGGGGTCTGAGTTGGAGCTCCAGAAGAGCCATATTGGCTCCGGTGTTCGTGGTACATGTAGGTACCAATGACGTAGGGAAGGGTAGGAGAGATGTCCTGGAGGCCAAATTTAGGCTGCTAGGAAAGAGACTGAAATCCAGGACCTCTATGGTGGCATTCTCGGAAATGCTTCCAGTTCCA